CCCCCCCCCCAAAAAGAGGCCCAAGAACAACTACCCAGATACCCAAAGCAAGCAAGAAAAAGAAGATACCAAACCCCCGAAACTATATCCATCCATAGCTGCTTTTCATCCAAGCATCAAGCATCAAGTACTCTCTTCTCTTTCTCTTTCACTTACCTACCTACCTACCTACCAACCTACCTACCCACCTACCTACCCTACCTACTTACCCACCTACCTACCTACCCACCTACCTACCTACCTACCCACTTACCTACCCACCTACTTACCCACCTACCAACCTACCTTACTACCTTCCAGGCCTAAGTAAGTACTATTGGCCTACTGACCGAGTGAGTGAGCAAGTGAGCAAGTGTTACAGAGTACACCCCGAGAGGAGAGGAGAGGAGAGGAGAGGGTAGTTCAAACGTACACGGAAACACTCCACTTTGGATAGGATACCCGAGGCACCTGTAACCCGCAGGCGGTAGTTGTTACTACGCCTGGAGGTAAGTGTGTGAGTGGAGTGTGACAGCCTAGAGGAAGAGGAGAGGGGGAGTCGAAAAGGTCACACCTCTACTCTGATTACCTTAGTTACCTAACCCTCACGCCCATGAGGTTGTGTTAAGGCCTGTAGGAATTTTACGAGGAAAGATAGTCATGAAAAGTGCGTCATTTTGATTTACAGCCTACATTTTCCCCCGTGTACCCCTAGTTGAGAAAAACCCCTTGGTTATTCTCGCAGACGCAGGAATTAGAAAATCTTTTGGTTTATGTCATTCATACGCATACCGCACCGCTGCCCAAGCCAAATACACGCGAGGAACGAAAAAAAGACACCAGGTATACATTTACAGCTCGTCGTGCGAGTCGGGCTCGTCATCTCCACCCGCGGGACCCCCGGCCCCATCGTACAGCTTGCTGGTGATGGGGTAGGCAACGTTGGACAGCTTCTCCTTCTGCTCCTCGAAGTCCTCTGCGTTGGCCGTGGCGCTGTTCTCCTCGAGCCAGTCGGTCGTCTCCTTAATAGCCTCAAGAAGCTACGATTCTATTAGTAAATGTTCATGCGGAGCGTGGAAGAAGTAGGGACTTACAGTCTCCTTGTCATTCTCCTCAATCTTTCCTCCAAGACCCTCCTCGTCGTTGACTTGGTTCTTCAATGAGAAAGCGTAGTTCTCGAGTCCGTTACGGGCCTCAATGCGCTCCTTGGTGGCCTTATCCTCGTCGGCGTATTTCTCGGCCTCTTGAACCATGCGGTCGATCTCCTCTTGAGTGAGACGTCCCTTGTCGTTGGTGATGGTGATCGACTCGACCTTTCCGGTACCCTTGTCGGAGGCAGAAACCTTCAGGATTCCGTTCGCGTCAAGCCTATTTATGATGTTACCAGCTGGCCAGACCACCGTTGGAACATTTGACTTACTCGAAAGAGACCTCAATTTGAGGAACACCACGGGGGGCAGCGGGAATACCGGTAAGCTCGAACTTTCCGAGGTTGTTGTTGTCCTTGATCATTGTCAGCATGAGGTTCATCGTAAGCATACGTTTTCCATACCTTGGTCATAGTTCTCTCTCCCTCAAAGACCTGGATCAAGACCACTGGCTGGTTATCGGCAGCGGTCGAGAAGATCTGGGACTTGCGGGTAGGGATGACGGTGTTACGAGGGATGAGCTTGGTCATGACACCTCCAGTGGTCTCGATACCGAGAGTCAATGGGTTGACGTCCATGAGAACAAGTTCCTCGGTACCCTCCTCACCAGACAGGACACCACCTTGTACAGCAGCTCCAAAAGCGACGGCCTCGTCGGGGTTGATACCCTTGCTGGCCTTCTTGCCGCCGAAGTACTCCTCAATGAGCTCAACGACCTTAGGGATACGGGTAGAACCTCCGACCAAGACAATATCGTCAACCTCGGCCTTCTTGATCTTGGCGTCTTTGAGGACCTGCTCGACTGGCTTAAGAGTCTTGCGGAAAAGGTCAATGTTGAGCTCCTCGAACTTGGCGCGGGTGAGAGTCTCGGAGAAGTCGTTGCCGTTGTGGAAGGCCTCGATCTCGATGCGGGTGGTCTTCTGGGAAGAGAGAGTACGCTTGGCCTTCTCAGCCTCACGCTTCAGCTTACCCATAGTCTTGAGGTCCTTGGTGATGTCGACGTTGTTGTCCTTGTTGTACTTCTTGGCGAAGTAGTTGATGACACGCTGGTCGAAATCCTCTCCTCCCAGATGGGTGTCACCAGCGGTCGAGAGAACCTCGAAAACACCACGGTCGATAGAGAGGAGAGACACATCGAAGGTTCCTCCACCGAGATCGTAGACGATGATTTGACGTTCGCCTTCGGTCTTGTCCAGCCCGTAGGCGATAGCGGCGGCGGTAGGCTCGTTGACAATACGGAGGACGTTCAGACCGGCGATGATACCGGCATCCTTGGTAGCCTGTCTCTGGTTGTCGTTGAAGTAGGCGGGAACGGTAACAACGGCGTGGGTAACCTTGTTTCCGAGGTACGACTCGGCGACATCCTTCATCTTTCCAAGAATCATGGCGGAGATCTCCTCAGGGGTGAAGGTCTTCGGGGCCCCACTGACCTGGACCTTGACGTGGGGCTTGCCATCCTTCTCGACGACATTGAAGGGGAAGTGCTTCATGTCACCTTGAACATCCTTGTCTGAAAACTTGCGACCGATCATACGCCTGCGAGTTGATGGTCAGCATTAGATAGCCAGCCGAATGAGAGTGATCTAGGCTTGCTCGCTGCTGCAGATCTGGGGCGCCTTGAGAGGCCACCTTGCATTTGCATAGCCGCGATTCAAAGAGATGGAAAGCAAAAGGGCACGTACTTGATATCGAAGATTGTGTTCGTTGGGTTCGCGGCAGCCTGGTTCTTTGCTGCGTCTCCAACCAATCGCTCATCATCGGTGAAAGCTACGTAGGAAGGTGTGATTCTGTGTCCTTGATCGTTGACCAAGATTTCGACTTTGCCCTTCTGCATCACACCTACGCAAGAGTAGGTTGTGCCCAGATCGATACCAATAACTGCAATGCGATTACCCGTCAGTACTTGTCGTAAAATGTGCGGCTCAAAGGCGCATGTTCGCAGATGGGCAGGAGTCGATTTGCAGCTGGGAGAGGAGGGGAGAGGAACCTACCAGTGCCATAGTTCTCTTGTAAGGGTTCTTGCTCAGCCTCTGCGTTCACACGTCCTACCAAGGCCAAAGGCGCAAACAGCAGGCTCAAGTAGAAGAGCGCCGACAAGCCCATCCAAGTGGAGCTCGTGTTTCCGCGAGCCATCGTGCTCAGTGTGCTTCCGCTTGCTTGTCTGTTTAGTTGTTCTCTGTTCGGTATGTTCTGGTTGGAAGTCTGATGTATGTGTATTACCTCTCAATGAAAGTATGGCAGAGGTGTGAGAGTCGGGGTCGTCTTCCTCGGGTGGTAGTCGAAGAAGGGAGATGGTTGTTCTTGGAGGAAAAGAAGAGATGAGGAAATGGAGAGATCGAAGTGGTTGATCGGTTTTATCTATGCTGGGCCATGAACTTCGAATTTCATCTGGACACGATTACAAGAAAGGGCTGGCTAGTCGCTGATTGGCTCGTTAAGCTTTAAGGACACCTTTGCGCCGCAAGCATAACCTAAAATTGGACGGGGGGAGGTTGGGGGGGAACGGCGGAGAGGTGTGTAGGTAGTTAATTAATTAATTCAAGGAGAGGCCAGATGGTCGGTAAGAAGTGTAAGTTGTTCTAATCATAGAGAGAGAGAGAGAGAGAGAGAGAGAGAGGAATAGCTACCGAATGTTAAATGTTAAATGTTAAATGTTTATTGTTCATTGTTTATTGTTTATATTCATTTATTTGCATTCAACCCATTCTCTTGCCATGCCACGGCTACAAATCATGGCGTGCATTCAAACCCCCAGATCCTTATTTCTACTTCTAGGGTCGATCTGAACATCGCCGTCAAGCCACCTCATTCGAAGCCAAGCAAGTGCACGTGCGCAGCACAGAAGAGGTCGGGCAGGTCCAGGTCCAGGTCCAGGTCCAGGTCAAGGTCAAGCAAGGTAAGGTGAGGCTGGCCAAAGACCAAGCCGGGGAAATTCGATTGTCCGTCCCATTAACAAGTACTAGGTACTGGTACGTAGTAGGTAGGTATGGTATCAGACCCATCGTCAAACCACCGACCATCCTTCATCTCTGTCCAATATCTGCAACAAAGCCAACTTCTCCGTCATCCCGTATCTGATCACGTTATATTTACCCGTTCATTACTTCGGTAGTCTGATGAAAATAGATAACACACAATAGGGGGGCAGCAGTGGTCGCTTCTCGCAACTTCACTTTGCATAGAACCTCATAGAACGCCGTTTTGCTCTTATAATCTTGGCATTAATGCATTCATCCATTCACGTATTCATGCATACAATCATGCGTCAACGCAATTCATGCATTTTATTCAGACGATTTCAGCAATTTTGCAGGTGACTAATCATGAATCTACCGAGCCTTACTCCCTCCATACGTGGAACGGAGCACAAGAGTCAGCAAGGCAATCGAATTTCCCACGCGAAGATTTTGGAAGACCACGTTTTTTGTGTTGCATCAAGACGGTGATGGTAGGTGTGTAGTAACTCATCGCTTCTCAAGTTCGATTCTGCCTCGCCGTAGATACGCATCTAGCTAGGTATATATGCAATGAATGCAGTCATCACCACTCATCCCATCACCCATCCCACACCTCCCCCGAGCAAAAGCAACCCACAACCACAACCACAACCACAACCACAACCCCACAGCCGCTGTAAGTAACCCCCTCCCCAATCTAAAACACCCTCACTCCAACAAACCAGCAGCAACAGTCTCCCCGCCATTTCTCAGCACAACCTTGGCCCCGGCCTCAAGCGGCACGCTCAGCCCATCAAATACGACCTTGACTCTTGCCAGCTCTCCGGGCTTCACAATCCTCGCCTTCTTCCTCTTGCCCTCCGCGGCCCCGGCGCCCACCACTGCGCCGCTCTTCTTATCCAGCACCCCGATGATCCGCTCGATGCGTCCCGGCGCGTGCAGCCGCCCGCGATGCACGTCAACGGCCCCCGGCGTCAGGAACTCAAACGCGAGCACCTTAGCCGTAAACTCCTTGATGTTCTGGATCGGGCTTGCAGGCGAGCAGAGAACGTCGCCGACTTTGATGTGCTTTTCTTCGATGTTCTGGAGATGTACGGTGATGTTCTGGCCGGCGACAGCCCAGTCTACGGGCGCGTTGTCCATTTCGAGGGCTTTGATGAAACATTTTTCTCCCGAGGGTTGGGCGAGGAGCGCGTCAGCGATTTGGAGGCTGCCGGCTTCGATCCGGCCGCTGATAGAGAGAGGGTTTTGGACGCCGCCTCGAAAGACGTCGCTGATGGTAAGACGTAAAGGTTTGGTGAGCGCTCGCGTGATAGGCTCGGAGTTTTCAAGCTCTTCTACGAGCGTAGGGCCTGTGTACCAGCTTGCTTCCGTGTTAGTGGCCTTCTTAACAATGTTTTCTCCCAAAAGTCCGGAACAGGGTATGAAAGCTATGTTCTTGGGTAGGAATCCGGCTTGTGTGAGGAAGCCGGAGACCTGGTTTTGGATCTCGAGAAAGCGTTCTTCTGACCAGGCTACAGTGTCGAGTTTGTTGACTGCAATGATGACTCTTTGGACCCCCATACTTCGTACTAGCAATGCATGCTCTTTCGTTTGGCCCTTCAGTCCTGACTCAAAAGATCCTGTATTGGCATCAACTACCAAAACTGCAAAATCGGCTTGCGCTGCTCCTGCAATCATGTTTGGTATGAAATCCCGATGGCCAGGTGCGTCGAGAATCGTAAATGATGTCTTTTCAGTCTCGAACTTGTCAGTGGCGATGTCAATTGTGACACCTCGACTTCGCTCTTCAGTTCCCTGGTCCAGCACCCAAGCAAGAGCAAACGAAGACTTGCCCATCTTCTCGGCTTCTTTCTTGTACCGGTCTATCGTACGTTGATCTACAACTTTCAGATCATATAGTAAGCGTCCCATTAAAGTACTCTTCCCAGCATCAACGTGGCCTACAAAGTCAGCACAACTACCAGAACCAAGTAAAGGACAACTTACCAATAACCACGAAATTCGCCGCATTTTTCGTCTTTGCTTTTTCAAACTCGCTCAACACATCCAGATTCCTACTCTTCGCCTTCGGCGTATCATCCAGCCTCACAGCCTCAACACCACTCGCAATCTGATCCTCCCGCTTCTCCCCACTCGTCTTCGGCGGTCCCTTGCTGCCCCCTCCTTTCGCTACGCCATGGTTAGTATCAATTCGGAGGGCGCATAGCTGAGGTCGTCGAACCTTTCGACTGTGCTGCGATGACAACGTCATCCGGACTAGGTCCTGCGAACGGGTCAGCGGTTATCGGGGCGGCAGTACTGCTGTAAGGTAGAGAGAAAAGGCTGGATGTGCTAGGGGCGGTGGACGTAGGACTGCTGAACATGGTGTTGGCGAAAGCTGAGGGCTCCGCTTGGTCGACTGGAGGGCCTTCTACGGGCGTAGTTGGCTCTGGTCCTCCTCGCTCCACCGGCGGAGCCTTGGCAGTCTTCTCGTGGGGGTTTGAGTCCTTGCGCTTGCGTACAGGGAACCCTCTTGATGTAGACTTTGTGGACGGGAATGGCTGCTCTTTATCGGCGCTCGAGTTGAGCGTGAGATCGGCCATAGACTTATCCATCCCCGAACCCTCACTAGATTTCTGTTCTTGAGCCTTCTTCTTCCTCGCCGCTGCCAAAGCCTGTAATTTCGACATCTTCGGTGCTCCATCAGAAGAACCACCCAGCAGTCCACCTCTTGGATGAAGGGGCGCAAGAAATTCCGCTTGCCGGTCCATAGGAGTATTCAACCATGGCATATCCCGGAAGAAATTTGCACAGGAGAAAGCCTCCTCGCAATCTTTGGCACTTATTAGCTCCACACCAGAGCAGAAGGACATCAGTGAAGGTCAACCCACCTTCAGATCCAGTCTCATCAAGTCCAGACCCAGATCCACAGCTATACACATATACCCCAGCAGGATCTCCTTCCCCATGCAAAATGGAAATCAGCCCACCTTTAGCTTTCTTCTCCTTCTTCGGCCGCTCCATCACGAACGTCCTCATCAGGTAGTCGACCGTTTTCTGGATATCGTAGAAGTAATGCCACAGTGCCTCGTGGATCTGCTTCTCGGTGACGTGGGAGGCGGTTCCTGGGAGCTCGGCGCGTACTGCTACGGTACCAGCTCGCATGTATTCTAAGATAAAAAAGCGGTTCAGTTCACTTTTTGAGTCTTGAGCCTGGGGGTACGGGGTCTTGGAGGGGTAGACAGACCTTGGTCTTCTTCGCTGAGCTCTGCAGGACTCTGGTATCAGTATATATAGCTCTTTGCATAAATTCCACATTCACGAGAGATATTTTAGACAAGCGAAAAGCGCAGACGAACCTTCGCCGGCTCCATCCTCAGCATAGTCGTCCCCGCCATCGAAATCGTCCAGCTCGTCGTCCAGATCCAGGTTCTTTACCAATTTATGACGCGACATGTTGCCAGCTTTCTCGTGACAATGCTGATGATTCTCTGGTTCCGGAAGCAGCAAGAATGCAGAGTGTTTGGTTCGGTTGGTGGAGGCTGATGTCGTGTATTGGTCGTGGCAAGCTTGGATATGGATGGATGGATAGCGGGGTTTATTTTCAAATTCCTTGCCAAGTGTTTGAAGGTAGCGTCATCGTGAACTCTCTCTCCGGAAGACATGGTAGATAATCACCGCCATAATATACCTATATAATCATTTCCTTTGCCTAACAAGACCTTCAAACCCTGCTTTCTTTTGAATAAAGAGTTTATTATGTATAATAGTCCTGATGAAAGGATACTTGTCATGCTAAGTCATTTCGTTTATCTTTCACAGTCTATCCATCTTGACACTGCCCGAACGGATTAGAGCCATGGGAAAAACAACGCACAAGCTAAATTCTCTCTTGGAACCACATTTTACTTTGGCATAACGTCATTCCCATATAATTATCCCATATAATTATAGCTTCTCCAGGTTCAATCAAGCATTATGATTACTTCTCCACTAAGCGCCCATGGGAACAGCTGTTGACACCCTCCTAGAGAAAATCACCAGGTGATGTACAGGTAGGGGTGGCCCACCAAAAGATAATAAAATAAAATGAACGGAGTGCAGGAATTCAATTACATAGCTCGCTACAAACAGGAGATCTCGCTACCTGATCTCGCCTAACAGCCCCCTTATCTACGATGTCAAACCCCGCACGCGCCGCAGGTCCTGTGAAAAGTACACAACTCTCACCTGATCATCATGCCAAATCCCCCAAATTCAGAAATCTGTCTTTCCATTTCCACTAACGCCGTCGCTAGCATGCTAAAAATCAGACTAAAGCTCGATGAGCACTTCCTCGACCTTGGGCTGCGGCGCGTGGTTAGGGGCTGAAGGGAAGGAATCCTGCGTGTATCCTGTGTGGGTAGGTCCTGGAGTTTGCCATTGCTGTTGCTGGGTCTGGGGTTGTTGCTGCTGCCAGTAGGGCGCTTGTTGTTGTTGTTGTTGTTGTTGTTGATGAGGGGGAGGAGGCGGTGCGTATGACTGGGGTGGTGGCGCGTGCTGATGAGTTGGAGCATACTGCTCTTGGGGCATCTGGGGTGATCTTGCGGACTGGAGAGGTGAGACTGACTGAGCAGAGGTCTGAAATTGTGGTGCCGATTGGTGGGTATGTGGGTAATGCGGTTGTTGCTGCTCGAGCGCTTGTTGGGGCTGAGGCGGAGCTGCTTGACCAGGGGTATTATAGTAGATTGAGGCATTGGGGTCGGCAGCTGGTGAAGCTGCAGGTTCTGAAGGTCCGTACGTAGTCGGTGGTTGAGATGGAACGTTCATTGGGGGCTGTGCTCCTTGATGCGGAGTGTTTGAAGGAGGAGCCTGCTGTTGAGGGGCGTTTACGGGCGGGTGAGATGCCTGTTGCGAAGCGTAGTTTGCGGATGGATCAGGAGTTTGCCAGTTGCCTGTCCTCTGGGGAGGGTATTGACCATAGCCTTCCTGCCGTTGCTCTTCAGGATACCCAGTGACCGAGGCTCGGTTGCTGTACTGTGCCTGTTGATGCTGATGCTCGCCATGTGAATACATCGACTGTGGGCGCGCGTATGAATCTTGAGGTGCGTTTCCGGTGTAGTAGTTCTCAGCATTACCAGGAATATTGGGCGCATTGGTGGCGATTGATGGATAAACAGTTGAATGCGGGCGTTGACTGGGAAGACCATATCCACTGACAGTATGCTGGTTGTATGTGTTCGACAGGCGGTCTTCCAGCATCCGATCATAGTATCTTACCACCGTTGATAATTTGGCATGGAGATCAAGAAGAGCATCTGTTTAAATCAGTACCAGTACAGAATGAAAGAAAAAAATATCATACCGTGCTTGCTCATTGTTTCTCCATATGTTCGGGCAAGCTTTGGACGGAGCTTATTAATTCCCTCATAGAGCTCTTGAATCTGAGGCTCTCGGAGTATAGTTCCAGGTGGTTGTGTTTGTAGCCGGTCTACCAGGGTGGAAAACAAGTTAATGTTCTCGGCTTCCACTGGAGTCAATTCATAATCGTTCTTTGGTAACACCGATGTTCCAGTTGCCGCAGAATTGGAGCTTGAAGCCTGTCTCATGTGGGCAGAATGCTGCTTCTTCTTCTCTTCCATTTCTGCAAGTGACGCTGCAATCGCCGCCTTGAGATCATCATCCTCCTCCTCGGCCGGCTTGCTTGATGAGGAGTTCTTGGACGGACCATCGGCAGTCGCTGGTCTCGGGGTGGGCTGGATTGTGTTTTGGGGAACGTATCCAGCGCTTACATGTCCATTTACCTCCTCCAAGCTCATAGCAAGCGCTCTCTGGATATCCTCATCGAAAGAACTTTCTATTCGTGCATTGCGAGGTTGCATGGAGCTAATTGGTCGATGTTGCTTTAAGGGAGAGCGGGGAGTGCGGTCATTCGCGAAAGATCCTCCCTTTGAGGACTTATCCGTCAACTTGATGTAGCACCCGTCATCTACTCTCACTGGCTGCATGATTCCGAGGTGAGGAAGAGGGAGAACTTTGGCTGAGCACTGCTGGTCGAAGACATTCCCACAATTCCGGCAATGATGCTTGCGATTCGTGAAACTGAAGGCCGTCCTGCATCGCATGCATACATCAGAGTCGGTCCATTCGGGCGGCTTCATGATGTCAGCTTTAACAAATCATCCATCGCACAAATACTTACTGCATTGCTCAGCAACATGCTCTTCGCGACATCGACCTTGGGTGGGAAACGGAAGCCTTCTCGTTGCAGGTGCTTGTAAGTCTCTACAATATAAGACAACTCATTTTGCCCTTCGGTAGCCGTCGCCCAAACTTGGATCAACTCCAGTATCTTTGCCGCTACTTCCTCATTGACGGCAGCCCCGCCACAGGCCGTGAGGAGGGAAACCAGGTTGTCCATGAACTCTCTCGAGGCGATTTCGACCAGGAAATGGGATCCTCCATTCTTCACACAGGTATCCGTGAGCTGCGCAAGTGCAGTTAGCATATATCCCAGGTGGCGTTATGTCTTGCAGGTATACCCACATTGAGAGCGCTGAGTTGAAAGTTCGGGTTCTTGTTGCCTATGCGCTTCTTCAAGGACCGCATCGCCTCCTTCGACCCGACCGTCTTTGAGCGTATGATATCAGAGATCTCGAGGTTGAGTGAAATATCTTCGCTGCATCCTGTTAGCAGTCACTCTGGCCTGGCCGGACTCTGAGCTAAGGAGGAGGAGGAAGCTTGCAGTGAGCTCGAAGTAGCCTTGTCGATTTGCTCGTCGAGCTGCGACGTGGATGCGAACCATCCCGCCATGTTCATTGTTTATACGCGACGTGTTGCTCTGGACAGCAGTTTGCGTTGAGAAATCTTGAGAAGAAAAAGATAGGATCGTCGAGGCTGGATGTAGATGATGAAATGGGTTCGAGATTAGTAGGCGTAAGCATGTATGAGGCTACAAAGGTAGTACCAGACTGGTGCCGTGCTGTAACTCGCAATTGCGGGACCTATCGGTAACGCTAGAATCATCCCTGCATCAAGCCAGAACTTGATATACCGGTATATGTATATAGATATATAGGTATATATATATATACATGTATATGATCAAGCATTCGACTTACCTTATCACAGGTAACTGTGGTATATCAGTTTAAAAGTTGTTCTTCTGATGTTGCCTTTTGGATTCCTCCAATGCATATCTTCAATGATATTGCCACCTTCGCCGCGGCTACAGGTACGTACCCCCGATATTGTCGTTAGAATCCTTTGTCTGCACTCTCCAACTCCTTATTGTTGCGACGGATTATACAAAGTGTAATAGATGGTATGGGAGTAATTATCTGTTCACAACTGAAAATGATTAGTATCCACTATTCTGATTTTTTATCGTATTATTCCAGAGCCCTGCAATGATGCGCTTCGCTAAGCATATCGGTATGACGCGGTTTCAGGCTTGGACCTCGACCTCGACGTGGACGTGAATGTGGACGTGAGGAATCCCAATGCATTCCGAGGAATCAATAAAGACCAGCGACTACAATAACAATAGAACATCTCCTCCCCCCCCACGTCGCCTTGTTCTGTCTTGTTCCTCCATCTCGCTGGCCATCATCAATCATCCCACCACGATACCAATCGAGACGGCGACTGGGAACCCTACTACCGAAAGCACTTTAAGTACTACGATCTCTGAGACCTGACCGCAACCAGCCCGACCCGACCTCTACTGTCTCTGCCTCTGCCACCGCCACTACACCTATTCCTGAATACCAATACCTCCTCGATTTACACTTCCATATACCCTTCTGCTACGATTTGCTCAACCGTTCCTGTTCCGAGTCTCCAGAGGAACCCTCCGGGCGCAGGCCCTGCAGAACACAATACCTGGCTTTCCCATCGAGTATACGCCTCCCCGACGCGAGCCCTGATCCCATCGTGCTCGGCAGATAACAGCACCTTGATCGCTCAACCGACATGCTCTAGGAGAGCGGCTGTCCCTACGAGATGAGTCCAGCTGCGACAAGCGGGCTGCCCCACACGCGAGCGACCTCAATCAGTGGAGGACCGGTTGGTATGGCGAACGGCGCGAAGCCTATTGCCACAGATGGCTGGAGGGGAGGGAATCGAGTTTTACCGTCTCTTGACGAACTGCTGGCCGTCAGGCCCCAGCCTGAGATGATCCATTGGGCCATGCGACGGCTTTTGCTGCAGGGAGAGTCTATGTCCAAGCAAGCGGATACTCACTTGGACTTTCACCGGCCGGAAGTGGCCCTGCAAGATTACCTCAAGGCGTCGATCATCGTTGTGGACTATATACCCCGCCACAGAGACTACCCTTCTCTTCAGGCCGATCGGGGGGAACTTCATCGACTATACGCCAAGCTCCAAAAGCGGATCAATGAGCAACATGGGACGTTTGCAAGTGTCAAGACCATGATCAAAGAGAACAATGCGAGAAGTGGAGTTACCTCAACTAGCTCTGTCAATGATTCCGGAGACAGCACAGCCGTAGGTAATGGCCATCTCCCGACACAGTCCATTCCCGATGGGCCCGTCAATGACACGAATGGAACGAATACTCGCAAGAGGCCTGCTCCTCCTGTTCAGCCTAAGCCTGAAGCTCTCCATGGGAATTCGATCCAGACAGACTTGGCATCACGATTCGCACTCTTGAGGAATCCAGAGCCCGTCAATTCAGTACAGCAAGATCCTCGAATCAAGACCCAGCCTATCGTGATACCCGGTATGCCTTCAGGTTCCCCAGCGCCGCAAACAAAGCACACGAAAACTTCGAGCATGAGCCGTCCTACTGGGCCACGAGAGATGCCCTCTGTTCCACAGACAATTCCAAGCCATATTAGAATCCCACTCGGAGTATCGATTCCTACGATGCCGCGGGCCCCGGACGCCATATACAGCCCAGCTTCAGGCGTAGATGACGCTGCTACAATCAATCTACCATCAAGTATAGCTCGGTCATCATCTTACATGGCTAACGGAAGGCCCAATTTTGCCCCACCTGTATCGACAGTAGGGCCTACCCCCGATCTCAATGAGAGTAGAAAGGATTATTTTTCTATCCCTCGTACGATTCCTGACAACGATGATGGCCCCGAAGCCCTAAAGCCTCAAACTCCGGTCTTTCCCGACGCTTCAACTATCACTGCTGAAGAACTTGTCAAGTACCAATCCCAATCAGTATCTATCCTAATCGTCGACTTGAGAAGCCGCGAGGAGTTTGACCGTGGCCACATCATGTCACAATCGATCATCTGCATCGAGCCAATGACACTGAAAAACGGCATTACTGCTGAGGTACTGGGAGAAACCATGGTTGTTGTACCAGACCTCGAGCAATCTCTCTTTGAGACGAGGAATGATTTCGATTTGGTTGTTTACTATGATCAGAGCTCCAAATCCGTCAACGCAAGGGCAAGCGAAGGCGTGCTGCAATATTTTGCAACCGCTGTTTATGATTATGGATACGAGAAGCGAGTGAAGCGACGTCCGTTACTACTTGTTGGAGGGCTAGATGCATGGATAGACCTTCTTGGCCCTAATTCGCTGAGGTCATCTTCGACAGATAATTCCATATCAATCGCCAAGCAAGCAGGCTCCGCGCGATCAGTAGGCAGATTCAATATGCCCGCAAGTCAATTGGGACGTATGAGATCTCGCTCATCTCGCCTCTTATCGTCGGACGAAGAGATGAAATGGGACCTGGCTTTGAAACAAGAGGATGCCCCAAACAGCCCTGGTTCTAACGACCAGTTGGATCTCAATGAATTCGTATATGCTAGGACTGTGGATGCATTCTTGAACAAATATCCAGAGATGCCTGTGATTCAGGAATCCATGGTTTCGCAGTCTCCACCCGTCAGGTACAAACATGCCACTCCAGATGACATCGATAACAGCGTACCACAACTTCCAACTCGGCCAGCCCCCGCGCTTCCAAGACAAAGATCTGGCGGCATTTTCGACAGAACCACAGTCACCTCCTACGCTGCAGGTCCCGGAACTATCAGCACTCTTCAGGTTTCCCCCGGACTGACTGGCCTCGACAATCCGAGATATCTGTGCTACTTCAACTCTAGCATTCAAGCACTCAGTGCAACCCCTTTCATCCGTGATTTTGTTAGGAACTTCACACCGGGTAGTTTTGACGTCCCTGCGCGACGAGGAGAGACCACAAGACCCCCACAACTCTTGCTCCGATTCCTGTCCAATCTGTTCCGCAATATGTGGAGCGGGCAGTATGATTACGTGGGCCCGACCAGTCTTGCTGTAAGAAGTCTCCTCCCTTCTCCTTGCATTTTTTACTGACCTTCTATCAGAGATATGTCAACACTATCCATTTTATGTCTCGTCACGCAACAGCCTCTAACGTCAAGGGTTTCTGCTTTGGTGGAGTGGATCGGCAACACGATGCTGCCGAATTCCTCTTGTGGTTTCTCGATGTCTTGGACGATGAGATAAATCCAGGACGGGATCAGCGTCCCGACTTTGGCAGGACAAATCTTACGTCAAAAGAACTGACCCTTCAAGCCGCGCTCCCGCTCAATCAGGCCTCTCAGTATGCCTGGTCGATAATGATGAGGGGCCAGAGCTCAATGCTCGCTCAGCGTTCATGGGGTCAAACGTGCAATGTGGTCACTTGCATGAGCTGCAATACATCTAATCGGAATTGGAACGATTTTCAGCAATTGCCTGTCACCATAACTACTGACCAACCCACGGATTTACGAGCACTGCTTGGTGGTATGTTTGGGCCGGGCAATAGAAACACCCTTCCAGGTCTGGTTGACTGCGACAGCGAAATATGCAAAAGGCAGGAAAATTGGGTGGAGGGACAACCTTTGCCGAGGAGGACAAAGGTACAAAATGCTTACATCACACGACTTCCCGAATATCTTATGATCACTCTCAACCGCTTCGTAAACGATCCAGTGACCGGAATCTCTAGGAGAGTTAACACGGTGGTGACCTTCCCAGAAACCGGAATCAATTTCGAACCTTACTTCTGTCCTCGGGATGCGAGTCCAGAGCCGCTCAAAGACCAAGAACACAAAGCACCTTATGAATACGCCGTGTATGCGGTACAACGACACTCAGGAACCCTAGATACAGGACACTACACGACCATGGCACGTCACCCAGGCCTTCCTAGGAATGATCCCAATTCAGCTGGAGGATGGCATCACTACAATGACAAGTTTGTCAGCCCCTGTCAGTTTCAAGACACACAGAATAGCTTCTCCTATATCATCTACTTGAAAAAGAGAAGGGCCGTGTAATCAGTGGGTCACGGCGCGCATCGGGATACGTTGTACTCTGGATTGGTATGCAGCACTGGTGTTGGGCGATAAAGCAAAGGGGTACGCTGGCTGGCTCTAGACGGCGTTAGGATCGAGGCGGGATATTATGCGACGGTTATTGGTTGGGCTGGATACATTCGATTCAAGGTGGCTGGGGATTTTACATGTTGTTTTGCCAGGTTCGTCGTGCGTTTGATGCCCTTCTAATTAACGAGCTGTAAGATTTTCACTGCGTTCGTTCTTCCGCCGTGTCCTACCCATGTCTACTGTGAAATTGAGCTTCCTTTCATGCTTGTGCGCAGTAGCAACAAAGCTCTGGCTGGCATGAAAATACTCAAGAAGCGAAGTCGTGTGTTCAAGAAGCGAAATCTTCGAGCTCTCCCAACGAGAAATACTGCGGGTCCGAGCTCCCAAAACGCCCAGTCCGTTGCCCACATGGCCTTTGACAGGCAGTCCTGATACGGTTGATCCATTATCTATTGACAGAGTGCTTCATCGAGTCAACCCGGAAACAACTGGCCCTCTTTGTCATTGAGCAATCTAGAACAATGGAAGAAGCCCATCAACAAAGGACACCCACCCATCTACCCATCTAGACACCCCCACCGTCAGTCTTCACTCTCAACCCGAACTCTACGAGAGTACTCAAAACCTCCAACCTCGGCCAAACCAACTAGAGCAAGACATGGAAACGCACCCCATCCACGGCCGCGGCTTCTCCAACCACCCCATCGAGCCCGCCGACCTCTCCTCCGTGTCCAATGCAAGGGGCTGGCTCACCGACACGGCCATCCGGCAGATCGTCTCGGCCAAAGGCAACACGTCGCCCTCGTCGCGCGTGCACTTCGTGGATCCCACCTGGCTCTCCCAGTGGGCGCTCGACAACCGGCCCGACCTCGCGGCGCTGGAGCGCAGCAATGCGGTGCCGGCCTTCCTCGCTGCCGCCCGCGACCCCGCCGTGCAGGGCCTCGCGCTACCGTTCAACGAGGGCAACAGCCACTGGGTCACCATCTACCTCAACCTGGAAGAGGGCGGGGCCATCTACTTCAACTCGCTCGGCAGCGGCGGCGGGGTGAACGCGCGCCGCCTCATGGAGGACTTCTATGCCAAGTTCGGGGGGCTGTCTCCGCATCGGACGGGGCCGATGAGCGCCCTGCGGTGGCAGGTTGACACGGGGTGTGCGCAGCAGATGGATGGGAGCTCGTGCGGGATTTATACGGTGCGGAACTGTCTGGATCTGTTGGAGAGGAGGGTTCCGGGTGGGGAGATTCTGAGCCCAGGGCAGATTGCGAATTTTCGGCGGAATGGGACGGGGGTTCTGAAGGAGGTTTTGCGGGGGCAGAGGGAGGTGGGGGGTTGAGGTCTTGTATGTATATATATAGATATAGATATAGATATAGATACGTGTGGGTGTGGGTGTATGAGAGCAAGAGAGGCGCTGGGTCAGGAGCTGTCTCGTTTCGTTTTTTTATATGTTCGGAAGAGGGAATGCCGAGACTTGTCCACGGGCGACACTCCGTATATATTTTATATATGAATATAAATATCTCAGTCTCAAAATACCAAGGTCATCTCATTCGTTTGGTGGCCATCAAGTCGGCCTCCGATCATCTCCATTTTGCTAGCTTCATCTCTATCATTGCATCACATACTCTCGCCCAAAATTTATTCCTTACCATCCAGGTTCTCGCTGTTGTGAAGCTTCTCGCTTAATGGGAAAATGGTGGGGGGGGGGGGGGGGGTCGGCTCACCCAAGTCTCCGGCACAGTCAGTTGCCAGATGGCTCTGAAGCCCATCAACTCAGAGCTGGATAGTTGTCCAGTGCTATGCTATCGCGATGGTTACTCTTTTACTTCCTTGAGAAAATTGATGTGCCAGCGCACGTAAAGTGGGCAGGCATATCAACCGGCTGACGACGGCTGTTATGGTGACTCTAGAAAGCGAGTACGATGTTGCTATACGGGTCGTCCGAAATTAAGCCTGAAAGGGTTACATACAACCGGAGCATCCAATAAGGGCCGCGAGATGGGATTGACATCCAGAGATTTGCGCAGGGTAATGATTGTGGTTTGGCGAGGGAGGGTTGTGGGAATTATAATGGGGTCTGGGGACAGTACTTGGTTGTACAGTGAGAAGCTTCGCGGCGCCGACGGATAATATAATGAATAATAACTAATATAAAGCGCCAAATGAAAATGTTATCTTACCAATATCTGGGTAAGAAAGGTTTCATACCTAAATTCTATTTAAGTTCCATCCCTATATTTTATTCTTATATTTTTTTTCCCTATAACAGGCTGTGTTGCTCATGCACCACGCCGTCGGGTAGCACTTGCTCTCAAAGAACGGAAGGTCAAAATTCCCGAGCCAGATCTCGATGCGGATGCACGCTGAAACGGCCCATCGCATCTTCTTCCAATTGACTCTCTTTCAGAAGCTTTGCTGAAACCCCTTTAGCGGCAGCCCCGATCTGCAGCCCTGCACCATCGCCGCATCCAGACCCCCGGGCGCAGATCGCGATATACAGGAATGTTGATGCATTCCGGTCGCAGAACGCGCGCTCGCTCCCAGCCACATCATCTTATCAAATGAAGTCTCGTCTGTTTGCAGCTGAGCTCTTGGGTGAAGCATCATTGAACTGGCGGTGTCACCGGTGAGAGCAGAGGGCTGCAGCGAGCCGAACGGGCATTTTGGGACGCCTTGGCTTTGCTTTGGATCGTATCGAAAAGATCTGGTTGTCCGGCTTTCTTTTAGATTGCATTGCGAGCACGACGGCTCTCCTCCCAAGGCCCGGGGGAAAAGTAAACGTCGTCTTGCTGTTTGGGGGGGATAGTGCAATGCAGCTTTGCCGTAACCGTCACGAAGGCTTCGTGAGTCGCCCGCCGGCTTGTGTACATACACCAAGATGAACAGGAGAGAGAGAGCTGATCATCTCAGGGCCCCTCCTCATCCGTCTCCTCGCCCCTGCCGACATCTTGCTTCACCGATGTGATCCTCGTCCCCTTGCCCATTTGGATCGCACTCGCTCTCCTCCCGATTCTCTTCGTGCTCTCCCTGCACCACCGCCGACAAAACTACAACCCCTCAACCGCTTACCTGCGCTTCGTGCCTCGATGGAGCTGGGGCTACATCGTTGCAGCAACCGTCTATTACCTCTTCATCATCGCGAATGCCTTGATGCTCACCTTGGAGATTGTCCGCTTGGAATTGATCCATTTTGGGATCGGGTTGATACCATTCGTGTATGCCGGCCTGCTCATCGGCCTCCTGCTCCACTGGACCGAAGGCGCGAAGGGGAGAATAAGAGGATGGCAAGCTGTGAATTACATCATCTGGATTGGAGGGATTGCCATGAGTGTTATCAAAGTCGCTGGACTGGACAAGGAAGGCATCAATTTAAGGAAAGAAAGCAAATATCCGCTGAGTGACCAGGTCACTGATATTGCGGTTATGGCGGGGCTGTATGCTGTGATTGCGGTGTTGGAAGTGGTGCTGGGTGTTTGGAGGCGGAGGCGGAGGAGTGAAGTGGAGATGCCACCGAGTCCACAGAGAGAGCCGACTCCTTTTATGGAGAGTGCGGAACTTGGAAGAAAATAACAGCATGATTGATAATGACGCGAGATGAAGGATGTATGGATACCCTGGAGCGGAGCATAAATCTCTTGTTTTTGCGTTACCTTGATTGTTCTGCGTCCACTGGTAGGATGGCAGACTCTCCGGAAAGAGGAACGGATTTTCTACTTGTTGTGATCTTTAAGGTTGCGTTTGAAGAATTTGCCTTATTCGCAGGGTTTTTAGGCTCGCTCGCAAATTCTACTTCTCGGCTAATTGAAAAATTGAAAACAGCCCTACTTTTTCGCAAGTTCTGTTCGCGCTTGGTACCACCTTTCGTATTGACCGGAAACCAAATGTTGGTGTGAGCATGATCACGGTCTTTCCTTGAGTTTTGTCCGTCTGTACCATGGTCCGGCCTCAATCTTGCCTTTCCTGCTTCGCCCTGGGGGTATGTATATATCTGTCTATATCACTTCCCGACGACTTTTCAATCTCGTTATACTCTCCATCCTGGACATCAGCACTCGAACCCGGGATACTCCCCATCGCCTCCCCAATCTCGGCGCGTGTTTTGTCGTTCTTGTCCGGCCGTGGCCGGTAAAGTTGAGAGCAGATGCAGAGAAGATATGTGCTCCTGTGAAGCAGGAGCGGGCGGAGAGGGGCAGCGGTCATATCAAGGCAGTGGAAGACGAGGTTGGAAAATTGAATGCCAGTCCGAGGCGTTTGGGGGGTGTTTAAGGGGGATAGAATGTTCAAACTCCCAGCCCGGCAAGTACGGAACATGGCTTCCGGTGCTTTAGCTCGGGTGCGACCTTGAGACATGTCGTATGCCGATCCCTTAAATTATTATTATTATTTTTATTTTTATTTTCAAAAAGAAAAAAATTAGTTGAAACATCTCTTCTATAATCGACGTCTTATTTTCGATCTCTTGGTGTGCTATTCAGAAAGCAAAGTCTTCACCAGTGGAGCATGTCGTGCGTGACGTACGAGAAATCTCGTGTTCGGTGACCTTACCGAGAAATTTCCCCGCCTTTTCAGGGTTAGCGAAATGTTTGTTTTGATTGTCCTCGGGCCCCCTTCCTGTACCTCAGTCTTGAAGCTTGCTTTCCTAACACTTTTTATCTGTAACCATCATGCTACCTTATAATTTTAATCGGAAAATATTATTTTTAGCCGCATAGTCTCGCCGCAACGGTTTCGCCGCATAGTTTCGCAATAGCATAAAAGAGAGCATGCCACGACTATGGTCACCGTAACCCAGAGAGGCAGAAGATGTTTCTTCGCAAGACATTAAGAAACATTCTGCTAGCCAAGGTGTATTTCGGCCGCTGATTTGAATACATCAGGCTGATCGTGTTTTTGCTGCTAGGAAACCAGCACGACTTGTCTTGAGCGAGCAGGCCCACGAGAGTATATCGCTGACGAGCGAAACTCTTTCAACTAAAGATTCTAAATCATTTCATATAAAATTCATCCCTCATAGAGTGGAAGCAGTATTCAAAATTGATAAAGTCCTTCTAAATGCCACAATTGACACATGCATGCTAAGAAGAAAAAAAACCTTTTCTCAGCCACGTACGAAAATCAATCCGAGAGGTTGAGTTTCTTTGCCCGCCTGCTTTCAAAACCAAGCTTCAGATCCGAAGCCAAATCACGTCCCCCCTCCCATCGAAATTCTGATCGACCCCAAGATCTACCCGGATCCGTGCCCCCTTGTATGCGCACCGCCTGTACCTGCGTCACTTCCCCAGCCGCAAGTAGTGTAACCGGCAAGTCAACATGCAAAGCCGCGAGATTAACGAGACGAGACGATCGGAACGAACGCTCAGGCTGTGCGATTCAAGCAAAAAAAAAAAAAAAAAAAGAAAGAAGAAGAAGCCCGTGTCCACATAGCACAGCAATGAATCCGACACATCCTGCCAGACATGAGAAAAAAATCATATGACTTCGCGACCGAGCGTAAGATTCTGCAGCTGAGATCGCGCACCTTCCCCACCCCCCTGAGTCCCTATGTCCCTGGCCGATCAGTGCCACCACGCGCTCCTCCATCAACCCAAGACACCGTCGTCCTCGTCCCACCGACAAAATAGGGACAGAAACAGAGAAAGAAAAAGAGAGAGAAAACACCAGAAAACCCATCGTCGCACCGATATATTGCTAACGGTCACATGCAGGAGCAGGGATAATGTACGTACCGTACAGACCACAGAACTCAAGACTCGACCGGCTGGATACACGGTGTAACGAACGCATCTCTTGGAATGGATGCCGTGATCTCCTCTCTCTCTCTCCCTCTCTATCATTCTCTCTCTCTGTGTGTCTCTGTCTCTCGCGATTCCACCTCATCTCCTCAATCTCTCACCTCACAACGTAAAGCCTCGAAGCTAACAACAAACAAAAAGGGATTGAAATACCACCGCGTCGCAAGGTGATCGATCCATCCATACATCCGTCTATCATCAGCTGTCCAAATCTGCGAGGAAGAGAGAGAGGAAGAGAGAGATCCGCAAAAAGAAAAGAAGAAAGAAGAGAAAAGAAGAGATGTCTTCAAACAGCTGCTTCAGCGTCCTCCTCCTCCTCCTCACCTACACCCTCCTCGCGAAACTCGTCTGCGCGCAGCAGCAGCTGCCGCCAACACCCTATATACCAGCGAACCGCCCGGCCGGAACGACAGTCACGAAAACGGTGATAGAATCGCGACCGGCGACAGAAGACGGCAGCAGCTCGCCAACGTATGTATTCTTCTTCCTATCCCTCCTCTCTCCTGCCCATGACTCTCCAGAACACTTCCCTCTCAAACAGAGTACTTCTCACGTCTGTGCTGTTACTACATATCAAAACCCCTCTCCGGAGAACGAAGAACCGAAACGGGAAAAAAAGAAAAAGAAGGAGAAAAAAAAAAAGAAAAAAAAAATAGAAGAAAAGGAAGAAAGAGAAAAAGAGAGAGAAAAAAAAAAGAGGGACTGACAGCTTGCCCAGAACATCCCCCAAGCCACATTTCATGCCCACCTACGGCAGCAGCCTCAGCCTCCCCGGCGGCACCAACATCGCCGCCGCGTCCTCCATCTGGCAGGCCCTGACATCCGTCCAGTCGACCTGGACAGCCGGACCGGCCTACCCCAGTATAACGTCCGCCGTATACCGTACGTCCCCCACCCCCATTCTCTCCCCCTCTGGATAACTACTCCGGGCTCAAACGGCAAACCCCCTTCTCAATACACACACACACACATACATACATACATACTCGCATCAGCCCATACCCATACCCAAACTGGACAGACGACTAACATAGAAAAACAAAAACGCAGAAGCAGCCCCCTCATCTGCCCGGGCCTCCCTCGACGCCGCCGCCGGCGCAACCTACGACTGGGACCAGATCGTCCAGGAGCCGTGGTACACGAGCGCCGTGCCCGCGCCCGTCCAGTCCCTCATCAGCGCGCAGGAGCAGGCGCTGCAGGGGACGTTCGACAACCTGACCGCGAGCGCGGGCGGGCTGTCGTCACGCGGCGGACGGGGAGTCGTGGTGGCTGGGGTGGTGGTGGTGGCGGTTGGGTTGGGAGTGAGAGTTTGGTGAGGTGAAAATGGAAGAGGGGGGGGGGGGG